TAATTATAGTTAATTTACAATAGAGTTGTATATACATATATAATAATTTGTAAACAGGTAATTAAAATAAATTCTTATCTTGAAATTCTTCCCAAATATCAATTTGTTCTTCTACATATTCTAATTCTTCAAATAAACTTTGGAATTTTGGTCTCTCCTCCTCTGAATTACTAAGTTGAAAATGTTATTTTTAATTAATTTTCTAAGTAAAATAATTAATCAAACACCCACAAATATTAATAATCCTGATAGATGTGTTTTCTGCCAAGATATTATTTCACCAAGTTTAAATGAGTCAATAACAATATTGTCATGCAGGCATTTCTTTCACTATGATTGCATTTATAATTATCACAATTATTCTAATTCCGAATTGTGTCCCACTTGTCCTATCTGTCGTGCACAAAGTTCAACATCAGGTAATCATACTAAAACACAAATTGAAAATACAAGTAATAATAATCAAGAATCAGATGAAATAAATGAGGATGAAAATGATTATATTGAGAGTGAAGATGAGTCTGAAGAGGATGAAGAGAGAAATAATTACAATGAAGATGATAATAAAAGTAGAGATGAGTCTGAAGATAATGAGGAAGGTGATGAGGACTATAATAATAAAAACGATGAGGATTATAATAATGAAAATGATGAGGATTATAATAATGAAAATGATGAGGACTATAATAATGAAAATGATGAGGACTATAATGAGGATGATGATAATATCATTGACGATAATAACAGACTAATTAATATACGAAAACCAGTAATTCAAGAATTCATAATAGAAATAACAAATCATGTAGAAGAGATTGAGAAAATAGGTGATGAAATTAATGATGAAAATGAAATGAATATAGAAAAAGGATCTAGTCAAATATCAGCAAGGACTTTGGCAGGTCTTTATAAATTAGCCAATAAAGCAAGAGAAAAAACAATTCGAAGTACAAGAGATGAAATTATATCATGGTATTGTTATGGTGAAAACCATGAAATTAAAATTAGAGAAATGATGTTGAACAATTCTCTTTTGAAAAAGTTGTTTGATCAAAACTTTACAAGGAAATTTTGGTATTTTTACCAAATATAAAGCAAGGCCACTTGAGAAAAAAAACTGAAAAAGCAAACAAAGTATATGATCTATTTAAACAAATTGGAGTAGACAAAATTGAATGTATCACTACTTTTAGTGCAGATAAAATTTCTAGATTTACCCATAATAATATACAAACTATTATCAACTATTTTAGTACTCATTAAATGCATATTGTTACATGCTTTATATTGCTTTTCTTTAACACTATTAAATTTTGTCTAATCGCTTTTACTATATATAGCTATGCAGTATAATCCTTTCATGTATACTTAGCAATATGTCTATTTTATTAATTTGTATCATTATATATTGTAATACATAAGCTATAACTTATAGCTTCTGCTTCTAGCTTTTAAATTGCAATTGCTATTCGCATTTTATATTTGGTAAAAAAAAAAAAAGTGATGCCTATTATATTTTACATTAGTTTGTTAGCTTTTGTCAAAATTTTTGTTTTTGTTTTAAAATTTTTTCCGATTTAATGATTTGATAATCTCTGATCATATCGAAGGCCTTCTGGCGAGACAATTTTTTTCTTTAACAAACGAAAGCATTGGTAACTTTGTCGATCCTTTTTGATTATGTTATGTATTATGACTTATGATCTAGTGCTATCAAATTTTATTTCTATAATATTATCGCAAACTGGTGTACGTATTCAACACATATGCATACATAATACATATATTAAAACATAACTTAAAATTCTGGAAAAGAGATATTACTCTGCATAACAATCACAATTCTAGGCTTGTAGTGCAGATAAATTCTTTAAAGTTTAAG